TTTTAAAGACTATAAACAAATTAATATTTATTATTCGGTAAATTTGACTAGCCACTAAATCGTAAAATAAATGCATATGTAGTTAACTTTTATAGAAATAACTAGAAGGGGCATTCGTATAAGTTAGGGACATAAATTGAGTTGTACATTTGGTGTGTTGACCAAATTAAAAAAGTTGTACATTTTCAAACTGGACTATTTTTCTGGGACGGAGAGAGTTCTTTTTTAATTGGTTGCTAAGAATGATTTTTCACACATTTTTAAGCAGATTTCATTGTGGTGGGATTTTTTAAAAAATAATTATAAAACGAGTTCAGTTGATTAAAAAATATTATTAAAGAAATGTTGTATAAAACACTATATATCTTCACATTTCTTTGTTCCATTTGAGTTCACTAAAACTTCCATTTTGAGTTTACTATATTATTGTAAAAATTTACGAAATTATATTACCAAGTTAGTATCAATTTTATCGATTATTATGTGTAAAATTTTAACTACAAACGAGTCATACTAATATTTTCCCATCAAAATATACACTATCTTGAATATAACATATACAAGAAGATAAATATAGTTTACACAATAAAACCTAGACAAAAGCTATTATATCACAACACTCGACTCAAATTTTATTATATTACGGCGATAATGCTTGACTCACATGTGATCATAATTTAACAATTTTACGCAATACATTTAATACGTGCAACAGAGGGGTAATTCTAGTTGTATTAAAAGTGAAAATTCAAATATAACAATCATTTTGAGATAAAAGGTATATTGTAATAATGTGTTTGCTCTATAATATGGGGAAAGTTAATAGCCAAAGATAAATTAGTAATAAAAAAAGAATATCATAATAAGTAATGGACATAAATGTTATAGAAACCGTTCAATTAGAAAACTTATGATGGATGTATTTTTTGTTATGAAGCATTAAATAAAAGCCAGGTAAGTGTGAATGTCAGTAACCATTGAGAAAGTGTTCGATTAGTGACAAAGAAAAGAAAAGTTGGACCAATCAAAAAAACTTTTCTCAACACCAAAATAAGAAAGGAAAGGGTGTATATACATATAAAAAAAATGTTCTTGTTAGAAACTTTTCTCACTTATTCCTCCTTCTTAATAGTAAAGTTTTTTAAAAAAATGTCTCTTTAATTTGATTAAATTAACTTTCACGAATTTAAGGTTTTTATTTTTATCCGGGTAACAAGGAGACTGCCCCGAAAAAATTCTTTATTAGACTCCTTATAAACCCTAACTAACAATCAAACTGCTTTAAAACCCTTCTCTCTTCTAGTCTCTTCACCTCTGGCCTCTCCAATTGATCTTCCCTCTCCTTTCCCAAAAAATCATCATTTCCGTTGGATGATTTTTTTCCTAGGTTCTTGTTAGAAATTTGATTCATACCAAAATATTCCCCTTTCTGTTCAATTTATTGGAGCCCAACTAAAAAGCCCCTCTGTCTAAATTGTACTTCCTTCGAAATGATTATGTAGTGTAAAATGTTTCAGTTTTAATCTGTACTTTATATCAAAGGAAAGCTTATAATCAATACGTGTCGCTCAATTAGATAGTTCAGAGTGTTCTTTATCACATGTCATGCTCAGAGTCTTTTTGTGACACGTGTCAATGCCAGAAGCCCATCTTCACTAAAGTGTTAAAATTTTCTAAGTTGGTAATTTCAATGTACTTTTCAACCGCGTTTTACCCATCTTTATTACATTCCATATATATTTTATTATCTACTAATTAAGAATGAGAACCCTATCTTTTCCATTGTTAATTATTTTTTACTTTTTTATTGGTAGCTAAAAATGATTTTTTCACACATTTTTAAACAGATTTCATTGTGGTGGGATTTTTTAAAAAATAATTTTAAAATTAGTTTACTGGATGAAAAACCATCAAGTATGTATGAGATATAGTATTTTTTAGGGAAATCTAAAAAATATATTATTAAAGAGATGTTGTATAAACACTATATATCTTTACATTTCTTTGTTCCATTTGAGTTCACTAAAACTTTCATTTTGAGTTTACTAAATTTATTTGTAAAAATTTACAAAATTATATTATCAAGTTATTATCAATTTCATCGATTATTATTTCTAAAAGTTTTACTACGAACGAGTCATACTAATATTTTAGCCTTCAAAATATATAGTATCTTGAATATGAAATATAAAAAAAATAAATATAATTCACACAACAAAACACATAAAATAATTATCATATCACAAAACTCGACACAAATTTTATTATATCACGACGATAATACTTGGCTCATATGTAATCATAATTTTATAATTTTATGCAATACATGTAGTAGAATCCGTGTAACGCACGGGGTAATTCTAGTTGTTACGAATGAAGAAAAAATCCGGTGCAAAATTTGAATCGGACCACTGATGCAACAAATATTTTCAAACAGTTCAACAACTATATAACTATTACCAGGTTCAAATGTTGATTAATTTGGCACATCATCATCATCAACCCACTACTGCGCTTAATTCTTCCACACCTTTTATTTCGATGAATTCGGAATTCCCCACAAATACCCATCATGACCAAATTGATTTGGTAATTAATTTGAGGGAAAAGGACAAAACCCTCAGTTATGTTCAAAGGACAAATAGCCCCCTGACATTTTGTATAAGGACAATAACCCCGTGACGCCCCTTGCATCAGCAAATCTTAGTGTGAAAAGATAAAGATAACCTTAAATCCAAAAATAATCTTTTTGAACATCAAACCTACCCTCCAATCATTTCGTTATTATTATTATTATTATTTTAAATCCTTAAACAGTTTGGCTCTGATTAAATCCGTCGCTAACTCTGTTTTGATGCATTATTTTCTCCCTATCACTAAGAAGTCGCAAAAACTCACAATCACGAGACATAGAGATATGAAATGCATTTTATGAGGAACTCATCCTATCTTCGTCTCCTTCAGGCTTCATCCCGTTACAAAGTCTTTGTTCGTCCTCTTCATCATTAATTCAATCTGTTTCAATAAACCTTTTTCATGGCAGTTTCCGGGAAGCAAATAGGAACTGCAATCCCTTTATTCTCCTTCGGAATCAAAATAGTAGAACGTCGAATTAGGATCAGTTGCGAGGGTGGTCTGTACGGCGGAAATGTCGGAATGGATAAAGAATAAGAACCGCTGGACCATGACTTCAACTGGATTGAATGGAACCACTTGTTGTTTCTTGTTTGGATCGTCATCAAATTCATGGTGTAGGCAGATTATTCTCGAAGGATTCTGAGCATTCAAGAGTTCTCTGTTCCAAACTGGAGTTACAGATGGAACAGAGGCTTCTCTGGTTTTTTCGCAACGGCGTTTTTGAATTGGACAAATCCGATACCGCCTGATATTGTGTGGAGAATTTCGTTAGAATTGGGAACATTTCTATAGAGAATATTCTCCAAGCCTGTATATGTTAGGAAAACTTTGGCCATTTGTAGAGCTTTAGGCCAAACTGATTGAGAGTTATGTTTTTTATTCCTCCTTTCTCATATATCATACCCAAATTCAAACTATCTTGTTCTGAATTCTGACTTCAGTTTTCCTTATCTACAATAATAGTTTGCGTGTTTGAATATAGTTCATGTCGATTTGTCAAACCTTGCTATCTTAAAGGTTGTTCGTTTATCTTGTGGAATTCCTGTTGCAATGTAGTTTCCTCATCATCTCATCCATTAAACATTATCAAATTCAATGGACTTTGACTTGTGCTCTCACCCCAATTCTCATGAACTTATAAGGTAACACCAAAGTTAAATAATCTTTAGAGTGACATCGACTAAACCTTTATCCCCCTATGTAAAATCGACAATTAGAATTGTATATCACTAAAGAGTTTGTATGGCCGGGAAAAACATGTACATTGCATTGATGGATCATGTGTATTTATACAACATATATTACGATAAAATATGAAACCAGAAACCCTAACCTTAGCGTAAACATAGCCGTAACTATACATGTTTTACAAGTTACGTTTTACTCCCCTTAAGTTGGAGCATGTAAATTTGTAATGCCCAACTTGCATAACAAGGTATGAAATTGATCACAGCCCAAGGCTTTGGTGAAGAAATCAGCAAGCTTCAATGACGAAGAAATAGATCGAGGCACAAGCAATTTAGACTGAAAATGATGCCAGACAAAATGACAGTCTATCTCGATATGCTTCGTTCATTCATGGAAGACTGGATTAGCTGCAATGTAAAGTGCTGCCTGATTGTCACAAAACAAAGGAATAGAGTGACGTACGGGTACTTGTAACTCAGCTAAAAGCCGAACCAACCAAACCACTTCACTTGTGGCGATAGCCATAGTCCGATACTTTGCCTCTGCAGTGGAGTGAGAAACCACAGACTGTTTCTTTGATCGCCAAGAAACAGGTGAAGATCCAAAAAATATAAGATATCCGATAGTAGATCTACGAGTAGTAGGACAACCTGCCCAATCAGCATCACAGTAAGCACGCAGCTGCAAAGAATTATTAGATGGTAGGAATATACCCTGTCCTGGCGCAGCTTTCAAATAACGCAAAACTCATTACTGCATCAAAATGCGGCTTGCATGGCCGATGCAGAAACTGACTAAGAATATGAACGACATAAGTAATATCAGGACGGGTGGTAGTCAGATAGAGAAGACATCCACAATGCGTCAGTAGCGCCCAGGATCATCATATAACTCTCCCGAAACTAGATCAAGGCCGTGTTGCTATTCTATCGGAGTAGAACAAGGACGACATCTTGTAAGTCCACACTCAGTAAGAATATCCAACGCATATTTGTGCTGGCTAAGAGCGATCCCAGTAGATAAACGAACCACCTCAATACCCAAAAAATACTTGAGTGGACCAAGATCTTTGATGTGAAACTGACTATGAAGAAACTACTTAAGCCTACCAATCTTATGCGAGTCATCACCAGCAATGATTATATCATCAACATAAATCAAAACAGCAAGAAAACATGATCCATTACTGTAAGTGAACAAAGAGGAATAGGAATAAGACTCCTTGAACCCCGCAGAAACAAGGGATTGGTTAAATTTCTGATACCAATTCCGAGAGGCTTGGCGCAAACCATATAGCGACTTCTGAAGGCGACAAACACGTTGCTCCCCCTGTTTGGCAAAGCCCTGAGGAATTTTCATGTAGACTTCTTCATGAAGATCACCGTGTAAGAAAGCATTGGTAACATCCAATTGATGAAGCTGCTAATTACGGGCAGAGGCAAGAGCCAATAGACAACAAACAGTGACCAACTTGGCTACAGGAGCAAAAGTCTCATGGAAATCCACCCCCTCAACCTAGGTGTACCCTTTAGCAACAAGTCGGGCTTTATAACATTCAACACTGCCATCAGGATTAAATTTAACCTTATATACCCATTTTGAGTCAATGGCGCGTTTGCCAGGGGGTAAAGGAACAAGAGTCCATGTATTATTGGCCTCAAGGGCAGAGATCTCTGTGGCCATGGCATCTCTCCAATGTGCAAATTTAACTGCCTGAGAAAAACTAGTAGGCTCATCCACAGAAGAGATGGCCGACAACAAGGCAATATGAGCTTTTGAAAAGCGACAATAGCAAAAAGTCGAGAGAGGATATACAGTTGAGTTGGCTAACGGAGAGGTAGCAGAGAACGATGGATTAGTACTAGGTTGCAGAGAGGGTGGCAAAGTATATTCATAGCCAGAGACACGCTGAGAAACCTGTCGAGGCCGTTTGGAAGGCAAAACAATAGGTGCTGACGAAGGTGCTGACGAAGTATCTAGCATAGGAGAAGTAGCGGAAGCATCTGACGGAGGATCTGTCAAAGAATTAGGACTCACCGAAGGCAAATCACTCACCGAAGGCAAATCAACATGTGGAGACATTGGAGGAAACGGATCAACAGCGGAATGGGTGAGATCCACCACATCAGGAGGAACTGTAGAAGGTTGCGATAATGATCCGGTGGTAGACGGAAAGATATTCTCAAAGAAAATGACATCCCTGGATGTATAGATGAACTTGCGCTCCAAGTCATAAATGCGGTACCCTTTCTAACCATGCGGATAACCAACAAAAATGACAGGATGGCCTCTCGAGGCAAACTTATCTCCAGGTTTTCTGGAAGCTTGAGCATAGCATAAACAACCAAAGCTACGTAACTGATCATAAGATGGCTGATGACCAAACATAACTTCATAAGGGGTTTTGTTTTGCAATACTGAAAGAGGCATGCGATTAATCAAATATGCTGCAGTAAGAACACATTCACCCCAAAAACTAACTGGTAAACTAGCTTGGAAACACAACGCCCGAGCCACCTCGAGAAGATGTCTATGCTTACGTTCCACAACACCATTCTGTTGAGGAGTATGACAACTAGCTTGTTTTTCCATATCATGATCAAAGAAATGAGTCAACAAAGAAGTATGATTAAATTCAAGACCATTATCTTTTCTGAACACTTTGTTTGTGGCGTTAAATTGTGTATGCACCCAATTAAAAAACATCAATAGATAACGCTTAGTATCAGACTTGGAACGCATAAGAAAAACCCAAGTAGCCCTACTATAATTATCAACAACCGTGAGAAAATAATGAGCGCCAGATTTAGAAGCAGTAGGATATGGACCCCAAATATCACAATGAACTAAATCAAAAATATTCTCACTCTTTGTTTGATACAAAGGAAAAGGTAACCTAGTCTGTTTTGCTGTACAACATGCATCGCAAACAGAATTATTTGTAGTAGTACTAAAGGAAACAGAAATGCTTGGAATCAAAGAAAGTTTTGTAACCGGTAAGTGCCCCAGACGACGATGCGAAAGAGTTGCCGTATTCCCTTTGCTTACAGATCGTTCGCCACCAACCCTCAACGGCTAAAGGTAATACAATCCATCATGCACTCTACCCATTCCAATCAGCCTCTTTGTGGTTAAATCCTGTATAAAAAAAATAAATCAAGACCAAATGTGAAGAAACAATTCAAATCTTTAGTCAACCGTCTAACAGAAATCAAATTAAACCGAAAATTGGGAACCCCTAAAAGGATCAAATGATCATCGAGTTTAATTTTGCCAACCGCCTTGACCGGAACCTGTTCACCATTAGGAACTTGAACATAGAGAGAATCGGTAGGAATTGATACATCCGTCATAGAATGAAGGTGATGAGACGCTTGATCGGTGGCTCCTGAATCACATGCCCAATCATTGGCCTTACCCGAAGAAAGTTGTTGATTGGCATTGGAAGAAAGTGAAGACTTGCCATCAGAATCAACTTGTTGTCCCAACATTTGGAAAGCTGCTGAAGCTGTTCAGTCGACAAAGAAGCCAAAGGTGGAGGAGGCGGAGGAGGTAACGACTCAGCAGCTGCAGCAAGGGTGGACGCCGGATTGTTGCTGCGTGGTCGAGGTTGATGATCACGTCGCTGCCGCGGTTGACGCCAACCTGGAGGGTAGCCAATGAGTTCATAGCAGCTCTCCTTGTTGTGATTATCTCGGCCACAGTTGCTGCAATGGAGTTTGGGACGTCCACTATCACGGGAATCTCTGGCAGCAGCAGCACGCGATGATGAAGATTTGGCAGCCAAATTCGTTGCTTCGATCACCGGTAGACGGGAGTCCGCAATGCGACGCTGCTTCTCATCATTGGCAACGATTGCATAAACACGACCAAGAGAGGGAAGGGGATCAAGGCTCAGAATCGGGGACCTCACTGTTTGGTAAGCATCATCGAGTCCCATCAGAAAGTCGAAGACTTTCACCTCCTCGTGCAGCGTCTGGAGTTGCTGGTTGATATTGCAGGTACATCCGCCACAGGAACATGTCGGAAAGGAGCGGAGGTTCTGCAAATCATTCCAAATACCTTTCAGCTTGCCATAGTATGTAGAGGTGAGCGATTTCTCATGCTGCAAAAGAGCAATCGAGCGTTTCAGCTCGTACACACGAGGACCGAGACCTGTGGTAAATCTTTCGTCGAAATCCTCCCAGATTGCACGAGCAGTGGGGGTGTGTGTGGCTTCTGTTTGCAAATCCTTGCAAACCGAATTGATCAGCCACGATTTGATGAGTGCATTGCACTAAATCCAGTGCTGGAAATCTGCTCAATCTGCAGCCGGCTGCTCAATCGTTCCGTCGATGAAACCAGCCTTATTTTTTGACTGAAGAGCATTGAGGAAACTGCTTCTCCATGTAAAGTAATTGTCACCGTTTTCAGCCAACGGTTAAGTAACAAAATTTAGGCCGGGATGATCTGATGGGCGAACATAATAGGGAGAACGAGCATCAACCGAAGTTGTGCCAGAAGTCGCAGTAGTTTTGTCACAGCTGTTCCAGAATTCACAGGAGTTTGATCACCCATGATTGATGAAGAAGAAAGCTTAACCAGTGTTGATGAAGAAAGAAAATAAATCCGGCGGGCAAAGAAAGAAAACGAAACTGGCGGCTAAGGGTTTAAGAGCTTAGGGTTTCAGGAAAAAAGCCTTTGCTCTATGATACCATAAAGAGTTTGTATGGCCGGGAAAAACATGTATATTGCATTAATGGATCATGTGTATTTATACAACATATATGACGATAAAATAGGAAACCAGAAACCCTGACCCTAGCCGTAAACCTAGCCGTAACTATACATGTTTTACAAGTTACGTTTTAATCACTAAACTAAAGTGGTTTGCCAAAACAATTTTTAATTTTTATTGTCTTTGCAGTTTGGACAGTTCATTCTGACTACAGTTACTATCTTCATTCTATCATATCCGATTTTAGTTGACAATTTATGATTTGGCCATTGATTCACGTACAAAGTCAACCATTCCATTCGTACGAAAGGTGCATTTCTATAAGTAGGCTGAGCTGGAGATGAGGCATATTATTCACAACCTTCCATGGCTTCCTATTATGGCAATTTGTTACACTACTTTCTCTGCCTTCTTCTTTTCTTTGTCTGTCTCTCCAATGGCCAAACTTCCTTTAAGCTAATGGACTTATTCTTCCAGTGACCAAAGACTCTTCCACTTTGCAATATCGTAACACAGATTAACCAAAGAACCCCTTTGGTTCCTGTTAAACTCAGCATTCATCTTGGTGGTCAAACCTTGTGGGTAGATTGTGATCAAGGCTATGTTAGCTCGACGTATTGGTCTGCTATCTGCGGATCACCTGAATGCAAGATTGCTAAGCCTAACACTTGTAGCAACTGCACTTTCAATCATCCAAGGCCAGGTTGTAATTTGAATGACTGTTTAAACACCCCTGGAAATCCTTTCATTCACACTTTATACGATGGTGGTGAAATCGCTGTTGACGCGTTATCCATCCAATCCACTGATGGAGTCAATCCAGGACCAGTTGTTAAGGTGCCAAACTTCATCTTCACCTGTGTTCCATCTTTTCTAGCTGAAGGTCTTGCTAGTGGAGTTAAAGGCACTGCTGGTTTGGGAAGGAATGATATAGCGCTGCCGTCCCAACTCGCTCGCGTGTTTGGATACCCAAAGAAATTCGCGGTATGTTTAAGCTCTTCCACAAGTTCTAGAGGTGTTGTAATTCTTGGGGATGGTCCTTATATCATGTTGCCAAATATTAACATCTCCAAAAAAAATCTTATCTATACTCCATTGCTCATTAACAAAGTTGGAACTGGATATGTGCCTTACTTAAATGAGCCTTCATCTGAGTACTTCATTGGAGTAAAGGCTATCAATATCAGCCGTAAATCAGTGCCAATCAACAAGAAACTGTTGGCCATTGACAAGAATGGCTTTGGTGGAACCAAAATCAGTACTGGAAAGCCTTACACAGTTATGCAAACTTCAATCTACAATGCAGTATCAAAGGCTTTCGCTGAAGCGCTCGCTAAAGTCCCTAAGGTGCCCCCGGTAGCGCCTTTTGGTACATGTTACAGCTCTAAAAGGATCGGTAGCACGCGTGTCGGACCTGCTGTTCCTTCCATTGATCTCATTTTGCAGACACAGAGAGTGTTGTGGAGAATCTTTGGTGCAAACTCAACGGTGCAAGTAAACCAAGATGTTATCTGCCTTGGTATTGTGGATGGAGGTTCTAGTCCAATGACCTCAATCGTCATTGGTGGTCATCAGATCGAAGACAATTTACTACAGTTTGATATTCCAAATTCAAGGCTTGGATTCAGTTCTTCACTCCTGTTTCGTAAAACAACGTGTGCCAACTTCAACTTCACTTCTCGAGCTTGATGAATGTCAATGTATCCCTTTTCTGTTTTGTTGCTTTATTTGCTGGATTTTGAACTATTGCTGTATGTTATTGTTATGTAAAGAATGAATTTTTTAACTTTGATTAATAAAAGGAGAAGATGTTCTGATCTTGACTCTAACAGTCGTTACTCATATGCAATAATAATAATAAAAGAAATAGCTTTCTTTAATTAAATTGTGAATGGAGTCATATTAAGGTACATATTGGTTGTCTATGAACTGTCATCATTCAATTCTATTGCCGTATAGCGTGTGAAAAACAGTCATAATTCTAAGAATAATCAAAGTCAGCTCTTTCGTTATTACTCCCTTCGTCCCATTTCAAATAGTCCTTTTTGTTAAACTAAGACAGAGTATGATAAAATAGACTATTAGAATGGAGTGGAGGGTGTTATGTACATTATGGAGTGATTTTCAACTCAGCATTGTCAATTTGTCACTGATCTCGATTGAAGTTCTAAGGAGAAGAACCCAAACTGATCATGCATTCCTTTAAGTTCTTTCTGGTTTTGTTAGCATTCTTATCATATAACTAAAGATGTCTGCCTTTTCAAGGAGGAAAAAAAAAAAACTAAAGATGTCAATGCTTCCCTTTACAGCATCACCCTTAATTAGCCACCATGAGCACTATGTCATTGACCTTACTTCTCCATTCCTATGGAATATTTGCCCACTGCAACACACCAAACTGTGATCTGTAGATAACCCGAATGCTTGAAAGCGCAATCTTGTACTCCCTTCGTCCCATAATTATTATCCAGATTGAGTTCTCATTTCTAGTTCCAATTATACTAAAAGTGAAATCTCAAACTGGACAATAATTTTGGGACGGAGGAAGTATTTTCTGTTTTACAAAAACAGTTTTCCCAAGTTCCATGTACTTGTATTGTTACTCCGGTAAAATCCTATAACCAAACCACGTACCTCATCACCTTGATGCTCCTAGCCAAAATCTATACCTTAATTAATAGTATTACAGTACGAAGGAGTAGTTGCTAATTTTTTGATAGATTGAAAGTTGACTAGCTAGTAATTCCTTGTGTCTTAATCATTTGGTAACAACTAACAACCGTAATAATTTCATTAATTTGTTGAATGTGTCTCTTCATCATTCTTTGCATTTTATTCTGATTACATATTATGCACTATTGAGATGTGTTGTGTTGAATACATAATTTACGTTTGTCATATTTGATCATTCTAAAAAATAAAATAAAATTACCATTTCTTGGATCCTTAGTTTTCTTTTTCTTTTCCTTATTCTTCAAATTTTTCCTTGATAGTTATCTTATTATACACCAAATACTTATAACGCGCATTTCGTGTAGCACTCTTTTTTTTCCCTCAACTGTTTTTACTTGAATCTAAATTTCAACTTTTTCATTTATTTTATCCATTTTACTTTGGGTTTTTTGTTTTTTCGGTTCACGCAAAGATTCTTCACTTTTCATGGTTTCAACAGAGGAAAAAAAGAGAAAAACTTCTCTTTTCATGGTTTCATCGTCTACTAATGTATTACTCGATCTAGCTACTTGAAAGTTGAAACTTTTGTTTCTCCTCCAAAAATATTTATATCAAAATGGGCTAGCCTTAGCTTACATTTGATGAGAGAAAAACATTCGCGAGTTCGATAACAAATTAGTGAAGTTCCTTTAGCCCATAATCATGATATTTCACAAAACAACGTTGGTGTGGGCTTTCGACAAAGGTTTGGTTGACAAAATATCACATACTGGAGTTTCAAAAAGGGGCAAACAAGACATTCTCTGGAAGCACAGGGCTGAAGAGATAAAATAGTATTTATGAATTTTATTTCAGACATATTTACTGTTTTATTTTAATCATTATCTTTTATAAATTCCATTTCCGCATTTCTAGCTAATTTTCTAGCAAGTCATCCCTTCTAGAAAGATTCCTTTGGGAAATCCGTTATAACCAAGAAATGTGTTTAATTAGCTGTCAGGATGAGAAGGACGAATTAGCAAAAAATTATCAAGAAGTTTTATTTGCGTTTTCTATTCTTTTTTTTTTTGTTTCCTTCTAAATTCCGGCCACCAGAATCCGGTTCTAACAAGTTGGTATCAGAGCCGAGGAATTCCTCGGCTCAATTCAATGATCGCAGATGATACTTGATCTATCAAACTTTTGGAAGATCAGCTCAAGAAACAAGAGGAAAAGCTTGCGATAGTCACTGCAAATGTAAATGACCATATCGATGGGAAAATGACAGAATTTCAAATGGGGTTTTCAGATCTGGTGGATTCCAAGCTAGATTCAAAGCTTAAATCCGCCATGTAAGGAACAACTACCAAGGGGCAAATAGAAAGACTAGAGTCTCTCATAGCTTCCATGGCTCAGGCACAGATCAATCAACCACTACGATTTGGGGATGTGCAGTCTGAGTGATTTCAACCAATCCTAATCCATGGGAGTTCTTCTCGACCACCGCCGGAGACTGATTTCACCGCCACTACTCAGGAAAGGGGTTTCAGACCGCCGTGGTTTACGCAACCACGAATCCATATACCAATGTTTGAGGGGAATAATAAACCCCGAGAGTGGCTTCATAAGTGTGATAAGTTTTTTTTTCTCCACCAGGTTGCAGAACACAGGAAAGTGGAGTATATAGAATTGTATCTGGATGACAAGGCTGAAACCTGGTTTCAAGCTATGAAAATGCTTAACCCCTGAATGTCTTGGCAGGAATTTAGGGACGAATTGATCAAGAGTTTTGAGGAAAAAGGAGGTCAAGATGACGTAGAGGAATTCAACAAATTATGTCAACAGGGCACTGTCAGAGAGTATCAGGAAAGGTTTGAAGAGTTAAGGGCCAGAATGTTATGCCCGAATCCTCAATTATCAGAAGAATATGTCACTTCTAGCTTCATCGGCAGTCTCAAAGAAGAAATTAAGCCAATGGTGAGGATGATTCCACACCAATCTCTGGGTCAGGTGTTTGATACTGCCATTCTACAAGAAAGAAACCTTGATGTGAACAACGCCAGAACCAAGTCCAACATCAGCTCAACTATCAAAGTCCCCAGTTCACAGGGCAAGGTAACTGATTCCTCTAAGCTTTATGTTAAGAAGCATGCTGTTACTGATAGAATTCAGAGGTTAACGCCTGAGGAATATCAATATAGGAGCAATAATGGCCTCTGTTATAAATGTGCTGAGAAATTCGTACTAGGACATAAGTGTAAGTTCAAAAATTTTAATGTGCTGACTGTGGATAATGACACTGAATTGGATGAGGAACTAAATGTAAATGAACTGGAAGTGGATGATAGAGTTGATTAAACTGATTTGACTTTGGATGAAAGATCATTGCATGTACTTTCTGTGAATCCTGTGAAACAAACTATATTAGTTGTTGGTAAGATTGGGGGTAGGATGATATGTATACTTATAGATACGGGGAGCATTGACAGCTTCATCGATCTTAAAGTAGTGATGAATTTGCAACTGTATTATGTAGAGTCGGAACTTTACACTGTTACCGTAGGAAATGATAATAGAGTTTTGGGGAGTTTAGTATGTCCAATGTTAAGGTGAGATATAAACAATCTGAAGGTTAGCTATGACTTAAAGATCATGAAATTAGGGGGATATGATATGATATTAGGGGTTAACTGGATGGCGCTTTACAGTCCACTCACCTTTGATTACTTGGAAATGAGTATTAAGCTTAGTAAATACGGAAGACAATACATACTTCATGGTGATGGGAGTAAAGCCAGTATACAATTGGTAAGAGATCTAGACAGTGACCTTTTGGCTCAGGAAAAGAGGAGAATGTTTAATATGCAGCTTAATGCAATGTCAGAAGTTAAAGTTGAGCCTGATAATCAAGAACTGCCAGAATCTATATTGAGAGTGTTAGAAAGAAACCAGCATCTATTCGAAACCCCCAGATCCTTACCTCCTCAATGAGCTGTTGACCATCACATTCCACTGAAACCAGGGGCACAACCGTTTAAGATTCCCCCCTACAGGTGCCCTCATGCTTTTAAGACGGAGATAGAGAAACAGGTGACGGAAATGTGAGAGCAAGGAATTGCACGCCACAGCACTAGTCCCTATGCTTTCCCGGGTATCTTGACTCCAAAGAAGGTTGGTAGTTGGAGACTTTGCGTGGATTTCAGAAGGCTAAATGAGATGACCATCAAAGACCGTTTTCCTATACCCATCATTGAAGAGATTCTAGACGAATTGGGGAAAGCGACAGTATTCACTAAACTGGACCTCAGGGTAGGGTATCATCAGATTAGAATGAAGACGGAGGATATTTCCAAGACGGCGTTTCAAACACACCACAGACATTTCGAGTTCCTGTTGATGCTGTTCGGGTTGACCAATACACCCTTCACCTTCCAGGCTTTAATGAATCAGGTGTTTCATTCCTTTTTAAGATAGTTTGTCCTTGTTTTTTTTTTTGTTTTGACGATATACTGGTGTAGAGTCCTGATATGAATAACCATGCTAATCACTTAGAACAGGTTTTTAATGTATTATCGGCGCATAAATTATTTGTTAAACAGAACAAATGCCCTTTTGCCAAATCTTCAGTGAACTATTTAGGCCATGTTATTTTTGCAGGCCAAGTCAGCATGTACACCCAGAAGATCAACAGCATTACAGAATGGCCAGTACTTAAGATGGTGAAGCAGCTCCGAGGTTTTCTAGGGTTGACAGGTTACTACCGCAGGTTTATTCAAAACTACGTATCATCTGTAAACCCTTGATAGAATTGCTGAGGAAGGATGCTTTTGGCTGGAATGAGAAGGCTCATCAAGCATTTGAAACCTTGAAGCAGGTGATGACCAAAGCACCAGTTTTGAAGATGCCGGACTTCTCTCAACCATTTGTAGTCGAGACGGATGCCAGAGAGATCGGAATGGGAGCAGTGCTCATGCAGAATGGACAGCCGATAGCTTTTCTCAGCAAAGCTTTCAATCCTCAAAACAAAGGATTGTCAATTTACGAGAAGGAGCTTATGGCATTGGTGTTAGCAATTTCCAAATGGCGATACTACCTCATTGATGTTCACTTCATCATCAGAACAGACCATCATTCCCTGAAGTATCTTCTGGAATAGAAAGTTATCAACACGTTGCAGCATAAATGGTTAACAAAGCTGTTGGGATACGACTACGAGATCCAGTACCAAAAGGGGAAAGATAACTTAGCTGCGGATGCCCTCTCAAGATTGGAAGCACCTATGGAGAAATCTGAAATGTTTGTAGTAACATCTGTTCAACCTGAATGGGTATAAGAGGTTATAAGTAGCTACCAGAATGATATAAGTGTCAAGGATCTTATTGCTACTGTAACCACAGATCCTACTTCACACCCAGAACTGCAGTACATTCAGGGCTTACTGAGGAGGAAAGGAAGTATCTACGTGGGAAACAATGGAACTTGAAGAAATCTCTCCTCTCGACTTTCCATGCCACCTCCCTGGGGGGTCATTTGGGTCAAAATGTTACTTTGCAGAGGCTGAAAGCTATCTTTTCCTGGCCTAATATAAAGAAAGAGGTTGAAGATTTTGTCAGGGAATGCGAAACTTGCCAGAGGAACAAAGGAGAACATGTACCTTATCCGGGTTTATTGCAACTAGTGTAGATCCCTACTCACTCTTGGAAGAGTATTTCGATGGACTTCATCATCAAGCTACCCTCAGCAAGAGCTTTTGATACCATTCTGGTAATTGTGGATAGACGCACTAAATTCAGTCATTTCATCGCTTTAGAAACTCCTGTTACAGTTTCTAGGGTTGCAGAAAAGTTTTTGAATGAAGTCTTTAGACTTCACGGTTTACCTGAGGATATTATCACTGACAGCGATAGAGTTTTTACTAGTTAGTTTTGGAAGGTTTTGTTTGAATTTTTGGGTGTGAAGCTCAATTTCAGCACAGCGTACCACCCACAAACCGATGGGCAGATAAAAAGGGTAAACCAGTGCTTGGATACATATTTACGTTGTTTTTGTGGTGAGAAGCCTAGCAGTTGGGTACAATGGCTCCCCATGACTGAATGGTGGTATAACTCATCCTACCATTCGAGCATACAAATGTCTCCTTTTGAAGCCTTGTATGGTGAAAAACCCACACCTTTCCCGTTGGGACCTTTGATTGATAGCCTTATTCCAGCAGCTCGGGATGTGGTTCAGAAAAAAGCTGAGACTCTCAAACTGTTGCAGGACAAGCTGAAGGTAGCACAACACTGAATGAAGTTCTATGCCGATCAGAATCGCAGCGAAAGGAGCTTAATAGTGGGGGACTGGGTGTACCTTAAGCTTCAACCTTACCGGCAAACCACTGTGGCTCTCAAGAGTCACTTGAAATTCATGTCCAGGTATTATGGTCCATATGAAGTTATAGAAAAGTTTGGAACTGTGGCATATAAATTGAAGTTTCCTCCCTGTGTGAGGATACATCCTATTTTTCATGTTTCGCTGTTGAAAAAGCATCATGGTGGCAAGTCTGTATCTTGTACCCCACCACCTGACTTTTCAATTGCTGAGGAATGTATATTGCAACCTGAGAAGATATTGAAGGGAAGGTTTTTAATCAGAGGAGGTAAACATGTGGTACAATGGTTGATTCTCCGGAAAGGATTGCGGACTGAGGATGCGTCTTGGGAAGACCAAGGATTTATTCTCTCTCAATTTCACTGTTTGAACCTTGAGGACAAGGTTCCTGTTAACAAGGAGGGAATTTGTCACATACTGGAGTTTCAAAAAGGAGGCAAACAAGACATTCTCTGGAAGCATAGGGCCTGAAGAGATAAAATAGTATTTATGAGTTTTGTTTCAGACATATTTATTGTTTTATTTTAATCATTATCTTCTGTAAACTCCATTTCTGCATTTCTAGCTAATTTTCTAGCAAGTCATCCCTTCTAGAAAGATTCCTTTGGAAAATCCGTTATAACCAAGGAATGTGTTTAATATTAGCTGTCAGGATAAGAAGGACGAATTAGTGAAAAATTATCAAGAACTTTTATTTGCGTTTTCTGTTCTTTTTTTTTTTTTGTTTCCTTCTAAATGCCGGCCACCAGAATCCGGTTCTGACACAAAGTCTTTTTTCAAAATTATGCGAAACTGAAATTGAAAGGCTTCTTAATGGCTTGTTTATAAAAATTAATGTTTAATTCTGAATAATTAATAATAAATTAGAAATGCTGAAATCATAAACTATTTACGGAATAAGCAATAAGTTGATGTTGTTGCTATATTTTGTGTTGTAGTTTCAGCATCACTTAATTCATTAACAGATTCATTTTTTGTTATCAAACAAGCTAAAATAAAAATGTGTTTAATCAAATAATTTTAAGCATTAAATGACATTATCAAATAAGTCCTAAATATATATATATATAAAGAGCCGTTCAATGGGTCGGGTTTCGACTACATGACATATCGATTTTGGCGATTTGAGGCGGTCAAACATAATCGTCGTCATCATTATCAAATCATCGTCTCCAATCATTAAACTATAATTTGGGCTAAATTTGATGTAAAAAATAGAATATTTCAAATATCGTTTTACACCAAAGTTTTTTGTAAATGTTTTAGTTTGAATTTTATTTTGATGGTTGATTAAAATATTGTAATTTAGTGGTATTTTTGAATAATTTAAGATGTAATTGCTTTTATTCAATGGTGGAAGTATCAAAATTTTCTAATTTTGTTATATATTTAATTTAAACAACTACTATTTTTTTTTTGTTTTTAAAATTTATATTCTATATAGATCTTATTATAATTTTCACAACATAAATTCATTTTGTAAGTTTAATTTATATAGCCATGGCTTCACTCCACTTCCAGATATGAGTAAATGTGTGCTGAAAAATGTGCAAGCAAAAAACCTGACTTCAATACGGGTTTTGACAAAGAGTTGACGCTGTCATTTATTTTGTTTACTACTCCCATAAGTTCTATTCAGAGCTTGACAAAGGAGACCGTTTTTTCCCCCAATAAATTATGTGATATTCCGATGTGGTGGTCAGTTGGCCAGATTCCGGACAATTACACAGACCGGAAGCGGCGATCGAAATCTAATCACAGTTTGACTTCCCATAAAAGCGCTGCACATCTCACGACCTACAGCACGTTCGAATATCTGATACTCCATTATTTATTTACTATTGTCAACTTAAAAATTATACTACTCCTGAATATAGTATATGCACATGAGAGAGAGAAATCAAATCCGACCAAATCTGAGGACACCGAAAATAGTAATAAGTTGCAGGGTGACAAAATACTGAATCAAAGGACACCGACATTTTCATTAAACAGACCAAATTGTGAAGCTTTACCTACCTACGCAAAAAGTAGGACAAGCATGTGATTTAAGCAACAGTAACAAAATGATGTGATGCAAATAAAAAAAATTCTCAATTTTTATCAATTTTCTAACTTTTATTTTTTTCTGGGTTTCTTATTTTGGTTGATGTTACATAGTCAGTAATCCGAGGATGCCAAAAAAAGTAGACTCAGAATGAACATTGAAAAATACTAAATCGAGGTTCCAAATAAAAATAAAAAAAAAGGGAAAAAAAAACTATAAAAATTCCGACCTATCATTATTATCAGCCATGAGTGTTTACAGCTTCCCAGAGCAAATTCTGAGGAACAATGGACAAATCTCTTGCCTGCAAAGCCGCTTTCCGAAGAACACCAATTGTTTTCTTGTTGGCCTGATAAAACCCATAACTCCGGTACGGCAAATTGTGTTTCTTGCAAAGATCCTGAACCACAGGGGAAATACTCCTCAAATGGCACCTGGGCATCCTGGGGAACAAATGATGCTCCAGCTGAAACTGTAATCCGCCGTAAACCCAATCCATCCAGGTCGAACAGGTAATGTCGATGGTTCCGGCGGTCTGACTCTGAAACCAATCGTTCGCCTGAGGATTTCCGACATACACATTGGCCGCGAAATGGTTCAGACAGAATTGAATGTGCTGGAAAGCTGTTACCGTAAAGCTCGCCAGGACGAATAGGATTCTTTCGTTCCAATTCGGGAGGAATGAAACCAACAGGGGAAACCATGTCCAGTAAATTAGAATTCCGATTATGTTCAAAGCCCGATCGGGGACTTTCCGGCTCGGGTTTAGAAGCAATAAGATGGTTTGGAGGTAAAGATTGACCCGGGCAACAATCATGATCGGGTAAAACGTTAAATGCTGGTAACTGACGAAGAATCTAGCCAGGGAATCGAAATCCAGCTTCCGGCCGTAGAATTTGGAAGTCAGAGTATTGAAGAAACTCGAAGAAACGGCGAAAACGGGTAAATGCTGGAGATCCGGGTCGTGTTCGAGGCTGTTCACGGCGACGTGGTGGGCGTTGTGGGTCCACTTCCACCAGGCAATGCTGATTCCGGTGAGGCAATTTCCGGTGAGGATCTGAGCGAATTTGTTGAATCGCCGGGTGGACATGATTTGGTAGTGACCCGAATCGTGACCCAGGAAGGTGACCTGGACCCAAGCAAAACCCAAGACTGCCCCGGAAAGGAGATGGACCCAGAAATCCTTGGAAAATATGACGCCATAAATGCACATCGAAAACATGACCGCAATCGAGAGGAAGGAGAAGAAAACGAAGTGGCCTTTCTTGTCAAACATGCCCGCTTTCGCGAACTCGCTGGCGAGTCTTCGGTAATCCTTGGAAACGTCGGAGACCCGGAAATCCTGCAGGTGAAACCCGGTGAAAAACCCGTCGAGGTATTTCCAGGCGGTGCCGGGATGGAAAGCAATAAACGCATCCGTAACGTCTTGGCCGGCCAGATTCATGATCAGCTCTTCACCGCCGGGATGCTTCTGGAGCCAATTCGTAACGTCGTAAACTTTTCCGTTAATGGAGATCCATACGTCGTCACGCTTGTTGTGCTTCCTCAGTTCCTCCGTCGTGATGTATTTCTTGCTTTCCTCCATTATCAACAATAATGGCAATCAAATAATCAATGAATTAAAGAAAAAAAAAATCAAACCCTTTTAAAATAGCTTTAAAAGGGTATGATCTGAAATCAAAAAAAGGGGGGCGGTTTTGTGAGACCAGATCGGATCAGAGATCACAAAAAAAAAAAAATTTAAAACCCAGAGAGAATGATTTCAGGGTGGTGGTATTTATAAACGTATGAACAGGAGAAAGTATAAAATAATCAAGGGAAATATCTCAATCTCAAATTAATATTTTGGAGGATGGAAGGAAGAAAATTGAAAAGGAGAGGAATATGTGTTGTAGCCCACAAACTTTTTTCTCAATACAAGTTTTTGTGAAAAATCGGTGTAAAAAAGGTTCTTTTCGAGTAGAGATGGAATTTTTGTGTTTGGAACGAACACTGCGGAGAAAGGCCGAATAATGTGGCAGCTGATTGAAGGTTGGACTCTTTACACGTTTTTTTTTTATTATTAAAAAGGAAAAAAGGAAAAACAGATATTTTTTAGTTTTTTACTGTAACTTTAAGTTGACTCATGCAAAATTTTTGGGACATTTGTTATAGCAGTATTTTTCTTATATTCTAAAATAAAGCAAAATTATAAACGTATTAGAAAAAGTAATCCCATAACGAGATTTTAACCGTGAGTCCGTGACGTTCATTTATCAACATCGAACGAACTATACAAAAGAAATTAAGGTAATTTACTGCGAAAATTGACTCGTAAAAGACTTTCTTTTTTTTCTTTTACATTCCAACGTTAAAAATCCAAAAATCACTGTCTGAATTACATTATGGTACTAGGATAAAAAAAAAGTTAATTCGTATCTATCTTATCTTATCTACCTGTTCGGGGTGAAATTAGTTTGGCCCGAATTTTCCTTTTCAATCTTACAATACTCCCTCCATTTCAAAATATTATAAATCACAATCATCCAACAATTAATTTATGTGTTAAATATCTATTTTACCTCTCATTAATTAATTACATTGAAACTATAAACAAAACTAAATAAAAATAGATTAATATCATTTGTCGATGGTAAAATTGAAAAAATAGTCATTAATTTGCCTAGAATTTGTAAAACGACCTATATTTTGAAAAATCTCTCCAAACCTAAAACGACCAACAAATTGAAATAGAGGGAGTAGTACTTATGGAATGGAAATTCATTCAAAATAATTTCAAATAATAATCCTAACGGTTCATTTGAATGGAAGAGATATTCCCGCTAATCAGGCAATAATACAGATAAGCATTAATTATAAGATTTTGTTTGTAAGTAGTAGTAAATGAATAAGATCTGGAAAATTAACAAAGACCCATGAAATATTTCATCTGGAAGATCTCGTGTGACCGAATAATTAAAGTGAGAGTTGACAGTTTCCTCCTTGAGATATTTATTGCTGACTTCTCTTTTTTGCTTTATTAGAAACTTTTTCTATACTTACTAAGTTGAGGTCACTCCGGTCATCCGGTCACTGCCCAATTCAATATGTTTGACTTCCTGTCCAAATTCGTTTGGTAAATAGTGATAGTAGTAGTAAACATCGGACAACATCGAAACCGTATTATCTCGCTACATGAAGTGAAAAAAAGGGTTTGATGATAGGTATGTTTCTTCAACTAAAGTCATAATTGGCACATATGGACCGAATGAGTTGGCCAAGGCTACGTTTCTTCACATTAATTTCTTTTTACATATAATAAATAGCTAGGATCGGAAGGAAAAAAAATCATACTCCCTCCGTCTTAAAATTACTGTCCAATTTTAGTTTTTATTTTTAATACAAATTGAACTAAAAGTGAAAATTTAGATTGGACAATAATTTTAAGACAGAGGGAGTGCAATACATCAATTCATGAGTAATTTATTCATGTATAGCATCCTTCGTAAGTCATTTCTGTATGTGTAATGAAAGTAATGCACGTTATGCTACAAGGAGGAATATAAATTGTTCAAGACATATACTTAAGCATTGATACTAACATCTACCAACCAAATCAATGCTATCTGATCCACCGTAGTTTCAAACTTTCAGAATTTTTTGATGTGTGATTCCTAAAAGTGAAATAAAAATTCTTGCTGAAACTACACATTTTAAAATTCTCCTTCCGTGATCAACAAATATAATTCTTCTTTTGTCTTGAACCCGGTTAATATTTTAAAGGCCTTTGTTTTTCCGATTTGGGACTGGGAACAAAAATTTAGCAGGAGGTCCAGGAGGATAACTATAGTCGTGATTCTTGAAAATACATGATTGTATTAGAATCTGACTTTTAAAATTGTAAGTGGTAATAATAATAACAATAAGGAAAATGATATATATATATAGTGAAATAAATAGTGACAAAATATAGTGAATGATGAGGAGTAATTATGACTCTTTATTTTTTAGTCACTCATCCGTTGAAATTATATCTTTCTCATAAAATTACATTTTTATCCTTAAATAACAAATAATATATTTAGTAAGTGTGGTGTACTTGTCTTTTCATTAGTCAATATACATTTTCGTTATAATTAGTCACTATTTCTATGATTGCTCTAATAATTAATAATAATAAATGTTGGGGAGTACTAGTACTAACTCCGCTTAACTAGATATTTTGGTGCATTGGACTATGTAGTACGCATTGATTATTCTTCGATTACTTCTTAAAGAACAGCTAAGCACTCTGCTAGTTTGTCTGCTGCCTTTTTTTCTTAGTAGTGCGTGTGTGTTTCTCAGATTTATTACAAATTATATATATATATATACACACACATATATATTATTAAAAACATAAAAAGTTTTTTTTTTCATATAAAAGAGGCCAAAGCATAAAATACTAAACTATCATAACAGAAGAAATTCACTATCAACATTTAGTAAATGTGCCGCAGTTTTTTTTTTTTTTAAGAAGAAGACATAAAAAAGTTAGTTGGGAAGAGAATTAGTTTTATTGATGATTTTAAAAACAATTTATATTGTTTGAAGTTCCTTCACTTTATTTCCTAATCTAATTTACCTTTTGACCTGGCTAAATATATACTACTAAGCCAATGAGGTTTGAGTTGTAGATGTCGTTTACCTTTGTTTTTTAATTTAAAAAAAAATTAATTTGCTAAATCTTTGACATATAAACTATAATAATAAGTATATACTGTAGCATATTCAGACCTATTGCCTGCGTCTTAGGCTTGAATTATGCTGTCTCTTGTTTAGTGGTCAAACAAATCTAAATCTGGCTTCTCCTTTTATATTCAAGGTCTCTTCAAGTGGACGCTGATTGTTACTGCTTCTGGATACATTCTGGTGGCGCCCAAAGATCAAATTTAGGTAAACCCTTTATATATTACTAGTACTTGTCGCATGCGTTGTGCGGGTGTGTAAAATGAGAAGGAAAAAACTGAACCTTCCCTATAATTATAATCGGTGCCGCAACTGCCAAACCAAATCGTTCAAACCAAATTAATCAATGCAATAGTTGAAATTTGCATATATATGTCGTGAGTTGAAAGTTTTATTCAAACAAAAAGGAATCAAAAAACAAAAGAGAAGAAAAAAAAGTAGGATATCAAACTTAATACCTCCGATAGTAAAGCTGACGACAAAGGGTATGACAGTAGCGGCGGCGGCGGCAGCAGCGGCAGAGGGCGGTGGCATAAGAGGTAGAAGAAAAAGATTTACTTTGGTGAATGATTTTACATTCGTGTTATTTATTGAGGAAGAGAAGCGTATTAGAGAAAATTAAATGAATCGTATTAGAGAAGATTAGAGATTTGGAAGATTTGATTCTGATATATATTTTCTAAATTAAAATATTTTAAATATTAAAACGTATTAAAGAATATAATGATCACATTATTTATTTTTCGGAAATAAATAAGTTAAAACATTAAAATAATAAAATTCAGATTAACGGAATTATTAAATTACTTTAACCGTTTAATGAAACTCAAACATGGAGGCGACACGTGTCCCTAAAAGCTATTGATGGTCTAACTAAGCTGAATTAACTTCTACAAACCACTCTCCTTTAATATATATATATATATATATATATGTATATATATAGGATTGCCTTTTGGGGGGTCATTACAGTTGAAGAGGAGACCATCTTGAGTGTACCCGGTACCACCATGGTCCCCCTCCTATTTTTTGCATTATTAGCCTTATTGTACTTTTTCTAAATAACTTCATATATTTTATAAATTTAGTCCCTATTACTTTTTTTTCTCTCTTCTAAAAAAAATCTTTAATCTTTAAATGAGCATAACTAATGATCCGTGAAGAATTTGTGTATGAATAATATATGAAATTTATAATACTCGTCGAGATCTATCCAACGAGATCTATATAGACTATTTTTTTTGAACTTAAAAATGATTAAATTCTGATAGATAGAAATAAGGTGGATATCCAGTTTAAGAAGATGGATAACCAACTTATTTTACATTCATATCGTTGTGTTGGATAGTCAGTACAAAGACGGCGGATAAGCACTAGGAAACCGGTGGATAGGCAGCTCGATTCAAATTCACTCTCACATTTTTTGCTTTTGGAAATAGGTACATTCAGAGGCGTTGGATAAACACTACAAAAGCAATGGATAGCCACCGCAATTTGGAGAAGCAGTAAAAATGATTGGATAAGCAGTACAAACTGGTTGAATAAACAGTGTAAAAAATACAGACAATGATATCCAAGAAAAATATAAAAGAAAAAAAAAGTTGGAGAAGCAGTGAAAACCGGTCCGTTGGATAATCGGAATGAAAATATTGGACAATTATTTTTCAAAAATAAATGATTGGACAAACAGTACAAACCCTTTTTGGATAAGCGGTGAAAATGATTGGATAACCAATGTAAAACGGTTGGATAGTCAATATAAAAGGCTAGACAAGGACTTTCACAAAAAAAATGAAGAAAAAAATTTGGTTGAATAATCAGTACCAAGCAGTTGGACATCCATCAGTTCATAACAAATTATCTGAAAGTTTTATACTGCTTGTCCATATATTTTAACTGCATATCCAACTAATATGATTATTCCTTATCAACCATAACAGTGGACTTAAAATCTTTAACCAAACTCTATCAA